TATTCAAATTTGGACATATTACGACATTTTCTTGCATACCCCCAAGTAAGACGCGCACCTTGTTTTGGAAAGGCAGGATGAAGGGGAAGAGATTTTTTCCAGCTTCATGGCTGACTTCTGGTCCAGGGGAAGTGTCTATCCATCCACCTTACTTGCCCTCCCTTTCTGGCTCAGGGAAAAGTTAGAGGTTTCACCCTGTTGAAGCCACTGCTGAATTGGCAGCAGCTTTTGGATGCAGTCTGGGAGTGAATATGGTATTAAAAACAGAAGGCAAAAGGGTAACTAAAATGCTTGAAGCAATTCCTTTTTCCTCCTATTTTTCCAGAGAGAGGTGTGTTCATGAAGTAGGTATAACTTCCAAAAATGTTCATTCATCTGCGTTAGACTTCAGGAAAGAAACTATGAATAGGGTGAACTTGAAGCTCTATTTAATGTTGAGCGGGTGCTCAAGTCCCATTGACTGCATGGGAACCGAAGCCCCTCCTGTCTTACGTGCAGACACTCGAGTCGAGGACAGCCTTGATCTCCTGAAACGGGACAAAATTTGACCTAGGACACGTATTGCGAAGTTGATCAAACAGGTACCTCTAGCAACTATATCTGGAAATCTTCAAGACTAACATCATGGACAGTTATCACGGCCGGCTGATCCGGCACGCGTCACGTTGCCATGCTCTCTGACCAAACGTTGCGTTGCTTTTTCTCCCCCAGCGGCAGCATAGCAGGATTTCTCCTGAGGACGGTGAACAAGGACGCATGTTTGTCACAGACGTGAACTGGGATAAAAACATCGTGGCTTTTGTCACTTCAAGCATCCTGCTTCTGCATTTTATTGGGTGGAAGGGGTGGTCTGTGAGTTTGTGTGGGTTTCAGTCTCCGTATATTCGGTGCAGAATAAAATGATGTTTGTAGAGGGTTTTTTCAGCCATGCAGTTTAGGCTTGAATATATCACATGCTACCGAAAACAAGACACTAGTCACGTTTTACGGAAACACGTAGCGTGTCGTGCATGTGTTGTGGTATCCTTTGTGACAGCAGCTTAATTCCCTCCTAATAGAAAATAAACTCGACTTCATACTGATTCTACTATTGCATGCCAGGGCTTGCCTTTTTCTTTTAAGTGAAAATGATGGCTTTTGCATATTTTTGCCACGATCCCTCCCAGTTTCACCATAAGGACGAACCGCCGTTAGCATCAGATCAGTTGATGAAACACCTTTTGGGTGAAGCATTAGGTGCCAGATGCAAAGGCGACTCGATGGTCCTTCCTCCAAGTGCAGCGGGCTTTGGATCAGATCCTAGACTGGGAGATGCCTGATGTTCGGGGTTTTGAACTGGGACAGTGCTGGGAGCGAGGAGTTGAGTGACTGGTGTCAAAGGAACGTGTATTATTGCGTTGAGGTTGGGAAGAGGGTGTGAAAGCATGGGGACGAGAGGGGAGCGGCGTGGTGGGAGTTGAGAGGGCAGGACAGGGGGAGAGCCTGAGATGGAGACGGGTGTAGAGGAAGGAGAGACGAGCAAACTAAGAAAAGACACGTGCGATTCCACATCGCAGGAGAGGAACGAATGCCTCCAGAAGAGCTGCAGCTTCTCCAGATGAAAGCAGGGAGCAGGCTGCCGTGTGAAACCCCACCCCGAGGACATGTAACCTGACTGAAATATCTATTTCAGGAAAGCATTTGCAGAGCTTTTCTAGCCTGGCAAAGGTCACCTCTTCAACGCACCGGGGTCTTCAGACGCCTGTAATAATTCCTCTTCCCTCAAAAATAGCAAAGCATGCCACCGTTGAAATGCAATCGGAGCTCTTCGGGGCAGCCCGAATCGTACCACGCTCATTTTCCTTTATACTTCTGCTTAAGGTAAATGAGGCGCCTTCTGCATCGACAGCTACTCAGAATTCATAAGCCAGCATTTTTCACCAGGGACCAGGAATGATGCACGTTGCACCTTATTACCTCTCTCTCATTCCTCCTCCCTTCGAGCAATCAATACCGTTCTCAGCGTACGCTTCTCTTTAAAGTTGTTTTGCAGCTTCCGTGTCAAAATGATGCGAAAACATTCATTTTTCGCACCTAACATGCCTAAGCCTGGCTTTGTTCTAAGGGACGTGCTGCTCAGTAAAGAAACTTTCCTTTTCCGCCGTGGAGTTAAGTCACGCGGTGAAACGGAATAATTGACCCCACTGTGAAATTCGGGAACACCTGGCAAATGCCTGGCTGGGCTTATGCTATTCCCAACACCATTTCTGGGCTGTTTGCATTAATGTACCATATCTTTGATTATTTCTCCCGCTAAAATCCTGTCTCCTTCTGCATCTTTTGCCAATAATGCCTTCAAATCCATTACCTCTTCTTCCGTAGTTGCAGTCCCCACTCCTGGGCTGTCAGATGAGGACACGGTGCATAGCTGAACACGAATCTCTTGAGAGTATTTTAACCACCTTTATAGGGGCAGGACATTGGCTGCCGTAGTCCTCCCACTTCACCCGTGGCAGGTTTGGGTGGTATATGTCGCGGGTGTGTCAGGGTTGACTGCATAGTTTGCCAATTTGGGTTTGGATAGGGATGATCCTGCGCCAGGTCACTGGACTAGATGACCTCCGGAGGTCCTTTTCTATGACGCTAGCTGGGAGAGAAGGGCGAAGGGGGAAATGGAGAGCTGCGTCTTCATTTGCACGCATGGATTAATCAGACAGCATTAGATAGACCCGAATGGCGGAGCCGGGGAGTTGTTTCACAGTTGACGGTGCTGGACGCTCCCCAGAGCTAAGCTTTGCCTCTGCAAATACGTGTCCTGCCTACCTCGAGCATCGTTGCAGAGGTTAGGATCGACGCCGCGGTCAAGCCTTGGGATGGGCTACCTAGGCAAGTGGGGGAATCTCCATCCCTGGAAATTTTAGGAGCAGGTTGGATAGACATTGGCTGGGATGGTTTAATCAGGGATGCCCCTGTCCTGAGCAGGGGGCTGGGCTAGATGACCTAGCGAGGTCCCTTCCAGCCTGACTTTCCTTGAATGTGGTCTTGAATGCGGATGTATCTGGTTGGATGCTTTGTTTATCCACTCAAACACGCCCGTGCATATTTTTTCTCCTTAATTAAAGTGGAAATGAACCTAAAACACCTGTCTTAATAAACTATATGACTTTCTCTCATGATCTAAAATCGAGATTTTTTAGCGCGGGCCTGTGCTGCTTCGTTCTGCTGTATCTGTATACCTGTCTCGTTGTATCAAACCCGTAAGAAAAACTCATGCAGAATTTTGACATGTATTTTGTTTGCCATTATCCTGTGTCAGACATTTCATTACAGCTTGGAAACACATAACTAAACAATTTCGAAAGGAAATAGTCTATTTGCAGTCGTCTGCTGGCGGCCTGCAGCCAATACTTCACACCATTTGTCAAGGAGATTTTATACATCTAAGCACCAGGTGCTTTGGGGACAACGAGCACGCATCTTTTGAGAAGGCCTACAGGCTGGGAGCACGGTCTGGTGCTAGACGGAGGAGAAGAGGACTGATAGTGGCAAAGATCGAGTCCGAATGTCTAGGGAGAGGGAGGCGTGCATATGGCATCACTCGTTTCATGCCGGATCTGCGGGACTTCGTCAGGTTTAGGTGAAAAGGCAGGTGCCTACATCAAAGAGCAGATGTAGAGATTTTGAAAGAGATTCTTCCTTCCCCTCCCTATCGCACGCCAGAATTACCACGTTATTCTTTGCAATGCCCAGGCTTGAGCTGATCAAAAGAGAGGTGCAAAAAAAGGTACCCAGCCCAATTTGGCACTTCTTGGTGCTCAAGCTGCCCTGCTGCTCCCAGGCAGCGAGAGGGAGATGAAGGCACGGGACCAAGTCGTTGCTGTTCCTGCTCTGGCGGAGGGATCAGAAACGAGTCGCAGATAGGGATGGAGTCGGGTGAGAATGCATCCTAGGCAAGAGGTTTCATCTGGTCACCCAGCCCAGAGCAAATACCAAGTTGCTTATATATGATAATATCACTTTCTTGATATGTACTGGTCTGTATTCCCATCTCACTGCTTTTGGGAAAGCTCCTACAAAATTACTTTCCGTGTCTCTTTAAATAACTTTTTCTCCATTATTGTCAGTCCCGAGGCTGCACCAACCCTTGGGCCACCTTTGATGCAGCAATAACTTTCCTTCATTCTTCCCTGTCTTTTGCAATCCTTGTACAATCAGTCAGTTTTAATCCCATCCAGTCTTTGATGTTGGTGTCCAACTTGTCCTAGGTTGTTGCCGTCTTTGTCCACACACTGCACACTGCAGGATGGTGTTGGCACGGGTGCATGTCCAAACCACTGTTTGGAGTTTTGTTCTGGATTTTGTGTGTTTATGCTTGTTCATCTCCCCTTCGCTCTTCATCACACACAGTTTTGGGGAGGGTAGATCACCTGCATTGCATCTCTTAATCACGATAAATATCCAAAACAAAGAAAAGTGTGTGGGTTGCCTGCACAAAGAGATGTTAAAATAAAAGTGAGACCAAATTCCACTGCACACGTAATTGCAGTGCTGGCATAGACCGAACCCGTGCATCCTTCCAGCATTTGCAATGCGAAGATTTGTTTCTATAAAGCTAAACCTTATTGCTATCAGTCTGAGAACTGACGGATTAATTTCTTTGTGTCCTATGCATGGGTTCATTATGAATGAAATGGTAGTATCATTATAGAGACACGTTACAGTGAATGATTTCACGCTAACACAGAATGTCACCGTATCGCTCTCTCTGAGCAGAGATGACTAGTTTAAAAGGGCATCTTTCATATGAGTAAATGGTTTATTAGGAGGCATGGAATAGACTTTTTTGCTCAGAAATGGAGCTGAAAGGATAATACCGAGTAATTGCATTGTACAGTGCTTCCCAGTGTTTTTACATGTTCTTCTGTATGGGGGGGAAAAGCGGGGAAGCCGTTTTCATGCATCGGGTTTGGGGGTTTTTAGCAATCGTTGCTAATAGGATGATTTTTGTGCGTGTGTTTCAGGATGGAATGGGAAACCTGAGAATCACAGAAAAAGGTCTGAAGCTAGAAGGAGACTCCGAATTCTTGAAGCCCCTCTACGCCAAAGAAATCCGCTCCAGACCTGTAAGTTATCCGGAAAGGAGAAAAAATAATGCCGTTTCCGTAGGCGGAGTACTAGCAAATCCATTGACTGTGCTAGATGCAGGTGATTTGGGGACTGAGCCAGGGGGTTTTCTCTTGCCTGGCTCCCACGTGTATTTATGTCAAGTTATATCCCAAGTTTCGCTTTTTTTGTTTTTAAAAGTAGGTCCCATGGTTGTAAGAAGCCATCATTTCACTTCACTATGGGAGTCGAGAAGTGGCAGAAGGTGGTGAGATCTAGCTCACCATTTACTAACTGAGAAAGGATTATCCACCTGGTTTGTGCACCCTAACTCGCAATAAACCCTCACTAAGGGCTCAACCCAGTATGATGCTAGGACAGTGTTTCTCGGCCAGGGTGCTACCGTACTGGGGAGTGCCTTGAGATCCTTTTAAGGGTGCCGCGGGGTGCTACGCCATGTTAGCACCGTTAGGTGTGCAAACACGATTCACCAGATCAAGCCAGAGCTTTCAAATGGGAAGCTACAGCGTTAAAAACTTTGTGTCCCGTTGTGGCCTTTCTTAGTTCTTTGCAAGAGAAGACTTGCTCTGTTATTAGTCAAGAAATGAGTGAACGGTAAGAGCTAGCATCTCCAAGGGGCGTCTCAGGTCTAACGAGTGCTGCCTCGAGTGTGAAAAAGTTGAGAACCGCTGTAGTCGGGACTCTGTGATTATTCTTGATTGCGCACACCTACAACGCGGCAGGTTTTGAAATTGCTTAGTGCTAAAACTAAAAGAGGTCTGCCCAGCAAGAGAGGCAACGTTTAAAGATGTGAAGATGAGCAGGAACCCAAGTGTGATTGAAGCAGCATTTTAAAGAAAAGATTTAGTGTATTATCGGCTCTTTCTGATCATCCCGATGCAATCTGGTGTGGCCTGAGCAGCTCTACAAAAGCCGAATAGGTTACACAGCCCTTCTGTTTTGTATTGCTACTTCAAAGGAGAGATCATCTCTTCCGCTTCCTGTTCAGAAGTGTTAATTTGATTCAAATATCAATCTCCCACTTGGATGACGATGGCAGATAGCTAATTAAATAACGTTAACATCCCCTTAGCTAGACATTTCAGTAGCCTTGCAGAAATTGGAATTTGTGGAGTAATCAACGCAGCATCCAATACAATATCCGATTTAATTATCGAAGGTTGTAACCTCTGCAAAATGGCTGCAGATTGATTTGTCAAAGCGGAATCATTTAGCAAGAGAAGTTAATGAGAAAATTTTCATATTTATAAATGTTTTCATCCTGGAATTAATGGAGAGCCTTCGAACCTTGTAACATAATTCACTTTGGTGGATAGAGCACATGAGGGAATGCCTCGCGGAGTTTGAGAAGCTGATGGGAAAAATTGCTCTATTTGTTGTCCCACCATTAGGTTTTGGAAGCGACTTTTTATCTGAAGGGAATAAAGAACAACTTGCATGAGTTGCCGCTGGGAGATTTAATCTTTAGACTGTGATGTAGCCTTCATTTCAGTGTGGTGGAGGGACAAAAGGTTTCTTCCCGTGCTACTAACGGCTGTGAGATTAGATTGAACAGTGTGGTTGGTGATTCAACGAATGCAAAGAAGGCGAAACTGGAGGTAAAGCATATCCTGTGCAAGTGTTGCTCGCTCCACTTGTCCTCCCATATCGTAATTAATATCATTGCCATTAGCCGGGGAAAGGACTAGCCGTGAATCCAAGTTGCCTGATATACAGCTCAGCTGGAGTGTTCCCAGTGTGCTCTGTGTGTGTACATGCGTGTGTGTCATATATAACACACCAACGTGTACATCTCCACTGACTTCTCACCGAGCCTGCACTGGGCGTGGTAATATTGGAATTAAAGTATCTTGATCAAAGCAGGCCACCCTCGTAACGTGAGATTTAATAGCAGTTATTAACAATTAACAATGTAATAAAAAAAAGCTAATTGCCAAATTCAGCTCTCAGTTATACCCCTAACAAATCCTGAGTAATTCTATTCCTATGGAGCTAATTAAGATTTTCACTCGTGCAGAATGTAGTTTTAAATGCAAGTGTAAGAGAAAAGACATTAAAAAAAAAAGACAAATAATAAAGTGCCAGGAATATGTTAATGTATAATAATTTTCTTTGTGTTTAATTAAACAACCTAAGAGTTGTGTACAGTCTGCTAGCTTAGATAATGGCTTTATTTATGGCTCAAAAGGTTTCCAGATGCTGGTTATGTATAATAGATGAAGTTCAGCAAAAGACAGGGGGGTTAATTTGAGATGCATGTAATTTATTAGAACAAAGTTACACAATAAGTACCGCATTGTTTGTTTGTAAAAGCAATTGCAGGGCTGTATTCATCCCTGGCAAAAGTAGCTGCAGTGTCACATGATCTCAGCAGACTTGGGCCGATGCTATGTGAGGATATCTTGATGGAGCGCTCCCAATCCTGGCGACTCTGTGGCTGGAGCTAGATGATTCCTATGGGACTCTCTTAGGAACGTGTCTTTGTAGCTGAGGATAGTCAGCAGCTCCTTTTCTTCTTGGATGCATCTCTCGTTCCAGCATAGATCGAGAGGAAAAACATGCCCAGACCATTTCTGTAGGGGTCTTAGCCCCAATTAGAAAATTGAGGATCTCTGTTTAAAAGGGGTGTAGGGGGGGATGGAGAAAACCCTTGGCATGGGAAGGTGGAAAACCCCTCAAGGTTCGGCTTCTGCAAAGGGGCCTTTGGGTGGGTGCTCTGGGAGGCTGGGGCAGCTGCGGCAGTTGCAGAAAAAGGGAATTGGGCTTTGGCAACCTGAGGCCCCACCGCCAACATGGGTGCTAAATGGCTGAGTTGAATCTCATCTCCCACAATTGAAGTCCTGCCCATGAAATTGCAAACAGTGATCAACTAGAGCAGGGGTCCCCAAACTGTGGTATGTGTACCCCCGGGCAGTACGCAAGGTATCCAGGTTGTAGCCACAGTGGTCTAGAGGAAAAAGCAATCGGGGCTCATGGTAGAGGTGGTCTTTTATTAGACCAGTAAGACTTTTGCAAAAAAAAAAAATCTTTAATTGCAAGCTTTTGGGCACAAATACCCTTCATCAGGCATCGGAGAAAAGATCGTAAAAATCCTCATGCAGGAGAAATCGTATACTGGCAGATTTAATTTTCATAATAATACTCATTGGCATTTAAGGGATGAAAATATAAAACATACGCTGGTAGGGGTATGTGGGAAGCTGGTAAACCCAGAAGTGGGTACTCAAGAAGAAACAAATTGGGACTGTCCAGTCGAGAGGTACCATGGATTCAAGTGGTTCCTCGTGACCTAATAGAGACCTGTTTGTTGGTAAAATATTAGCAGCCGGGACCAGGCATCACGGCACTGTGAGGAGGTTCAGGCACCTAGAAGCGGGCTGTGGAGACTCGATCCTGGCTGCAGCGAGGATGAATGCTTTAGCCTTGCTTGAAAGAAAAATGATAGATGCACCAGGTTCTCCAGAAGTGAGCAGAGCAGCTTAAACTCCCAGCTGAACATATTGCACGCTAAACGTTATTTTCCATGCCACTTGCATGGAACATGAGCATCTTGCTGCCTTTAATTAAGAAGTTAACTGGACCATGAAGTATTGCCTGAGTAAATAAAAGTGATTTGCACTTAGTCAAGAAGGTGCATTAGGCATCTTTGCATCGCTTTTGTCGCACATAAATTATGGAGATTATTAAAAATTGGAAGGGTCATCTCTAAGCCCATCTGCGTGTTGGATTTTTTTTTGCCGCTTTCGGGACGCGACTGTCTTTCTAACCGGCGTAATTTATGGTGGACAATCGTGCGAACCATCTGCTTCCTTATAAATCAGACAGAGAAACTTTGACTGAAAGTTGCACGTAACAGCACAATTGTTAATTTTATGTGCTGGAAAGCCGTGATAACAGTTTTGTGGTCTTCAGTCTGCCTCGTTGTAATTTAACTAGAATCTTTAAAAGTGAAAATTTCATGCCTCTTTTGAGAAGAGCTATTAACAAGCAGGTTCCTGGAAACTCCCTTAAAGCAAGGTTTTAGTCTTCTTTAATGCAAATGATTTTCCTTGTTTTGATGCTTGCTGCTTACCAGGTCTGGAGGCAACATGAAAGGGAAGACGCTTGGGATGGAGCATGGAAGCCTGTGCGTTTTCTGTCCCGATAAGAGCAGAAATAAAGTAGTGTGCTGAGGTGACACCATCAAAATGCAGGCTGTATTACTTGAATAACTGCCTGACAGCTAGAGAGATGGTAATCTCGGCGCTAGGTAAGAGGAAGAGATATTGGCATGTCGCAAGTTTAGGATTCAAAATCCTTCATTCAAGAGGCAAAGGCAAGTTAGCTTATGTTTTGTTTTTAAACTTGATGGTTGTTTGTTCTCTACTTTATAACTTATAGATTTCATAGACACGAGGGCTGGAAGGGACCTCGCATCAGATCTAGTCCCCTGCCCGAAGGGCAGGAAGTCAGCTGGGGGCAGTTTCATGTATAGAAAATAATTTCCTGTATAGAAAATGAGGCCCCGATTCTGTGAGTATTTGTGCATGTGCAATCCCGTTGAAGGCAATAGTTACTCATGTGAATAAGGTGAGGGATTGCAAGATTGAGCCCCTCGTGTTTAATGAAACTATTCGCCATGGGCCTATCGTTGTGTCCCTATAGGCAAACGGTGGTGCCAGTGGCCAGGTCCAGGGGCGCAGACCCCGTTGCAGGACAAAGCCGTCCTCCAGGTAAAGATGTGCTCACCTGTCTCCCTTCGATTGCACCGTTGCAGTCCTACCGGAGAATTTGATCTGCCTTTCCAGGCCCCGGGCTGGCCCAGACTCTCGGGTCCATCGTGCCGTTCTGTTTCTTCTTTTCCTTTCTGAGATCATGCTTTTAAAATGACTGCGGAGTACTTTGGCAAAAAATAGTCCAAATGCTTGAAAGGGAAAGTTTGGTGCCAGATACAGCACGGCAGCTTTTAGTTTTATTTTGATGGGGCGCTCCAGGCCCCGATCCTGGAAGCTGTACACCT